TGTTTACACCAAGCGTTCTACCCATGAGCCTTTGCATTTTAGCATGTGTTGTTATCGTCAGTTGGGACTCAATTCCCACGCGTGTGCAGGTGACGATCCTCCCGCTGTGGGAACCTCAATTGTACATGACTTAAGAAAATAATCTGTGCATCAGATCACATGCAACATTCATACTAAAAAGCAAATCATGGATTGGATGTATATTATATATACATATTATACAGATGCAGCACTTGCTAAGCCGAGTGGCCACTCCACTTACCTACCACAAGTCAAAAAATATTTATAGCTCTCCCAATTCAGACATTCTTGAAAAAAATTTAATAGCATGGCTCTTCTACTGCCATTTATAGCTTGCCAGATAATTTCAAAAAAAAACGAGGTCGTCGATGAAGATGCTGTACTGAAAGTTCTCAATCAAAAAAAAAAACATGAAGCATGGCTAAAGTATTGTACAAGTTTAAATTTCATTATCATTTTGGCATTTTTCTGTATGTGAAGTCTACGAATGCCGAGATCTGGTCACACTCCTTATATAATGTTCCATTTCATGACAGATTGCACTGCTATATACGACTATTCGAGGGCAGCGTCGTCTTAGGATACATAACTTATCATTGAATTGTTGTAATCAAATGGCGGACATGTTCAGAAGTTGTGAAATGGACTCCATACTTAACTTGATTGCAAAACAATGTAAGTATACATCATGTCACATGACATACGTTGTTTTATTTAATAATAAAAGTACTGATATCCAATGAAAACCATCCAAAACAAATCTGAGTCGAGTTTTCGGTATTCTATACTTTTCTTGCAGTGTAATTCCTGCAATCTGTTATTTGGAGACACGTTTTCTTGATGATCCAATCACTTGCAGCCACTTTTGTTGTCATATTTAGCTAATAGTATTTTCATGGCAATTGGGTTACAGGAAAACAATATGATTTGATCTAGTATGGCCGACTGGAAGCCATGATAAATTGTCAAGCGGAGCAGAGCTTATTATATGAGTGATTGTCCGTCGTCGTCAGTGTCAACTTTTTACTTTTGTGACTTCTTCTTGAAAACTACAAGCCTGAATGATTTGATACTTGTTGTTGTACTTTTGGTAGACCTCTATTAGATTTGTTTAATTCTCTAATTTTGGTGAATATTTTTGTAATTTTTGGTGTAAAGTGACATTTTTGACTACTTGTTAAAAACCACAAATCTGATTGCTTTGATATTACATATATAGCTACTACATGTGAACCTCTCTCAGATTTGTTCATTTCGTGATGATATCTTCAATATCTAATTTTGATGAATATTTTTGGTGAAAAGTGATATTTTTGAATTCTTGTTAAAAGCAGCAAGCCCAATTGCTTTGATACTGTACATATTGTTCATTCTCTAATGATATTTTCAGTTCTTTAATTGAAATGTGCATTGCTAACAGTGGAGCTGTCTCGGCCGACTGGTTGCTTGTTTATTATATGTCCACATTAGTGTCTCCAGCATGTAATAACCATTTCTGTTTATAGTCATTTCTCAATTTACCACACTAGATTTTGAAGTTCTTATAAATGTTGTTTCATTCGCAGCTCTTGATCAAGTGATTCATGCTACACCCAAAGCAATTAGAGAAGTAATAATCAATCAATGTGCTACCATACTCACATGCTACAGAAAAAATTGTGCTAGCCCCTCATCTCCTGGACAGGTAAGCTGAAAAATAAGTTTTGTCAAGTATGTATAACATAATGGCATGTAACTATGGGCTATATGATGCAGATCTCGCACAAATTGAAGTCGCGCGACTTGCGAGATGATCACAATTGCAAGACAAATCTACCCTGTATATTTCTTGTAATTGTAATGCAAATTAGTGAGTCTGTGAAAGAAATGATTAATCTCCGATCGTTGTTTGTCCGCAAGCGTGTTATGCTAGCTTTATTGAATGCCGAGATAAACTTTCATTTCTTGCACAGTTGTACCTTTCCAAGCGTTCACTGCATTCTATGAAACAATTGGTTAGCTATTCCTTTTAGTAATGTACACAGATTGCGATCACTCTTACAAGCTACGAGTTTAGTTCTCATGAGATCTTTGTCTTATAAATCGTTGGTGTTATTTTGTCTTGTCTGTAATTCATCACTCTCAAATTGTGCGTTTATTTCTTTTGCGCATATTGTGTGAGGTCAACAAACTGGAAGGTAGTACAGATTTAGATGCGCAAAGTCACAGTGCACCAATCATTCGTGTTTCCAACTCGCAGCGTAAAAAACTGTGCACATACTAACTGTACATTTTTGTTTGTAGTTAATACTACCAGAATGTATGAAGTTACTCCCACTGTATTCAAACAGTTTAATTAAGAGTGATGCACTGTCAGGTGGATCTGATATCACTACAGATGATAGGAGTTGGTTAATGCAGTCTGTCAATGCAATGGACGTGGCTTCATCACATGTCTATTTCTATCCACGATTACTTCCATTGGTAAGTGGGTACCACCTTTCACCGAATTAAATGATATTCATTGTTTGTAGAGTAGTTTTTCATTATCATGACAACTAAATGATATTTATTTCATTCACATTTCAGCATAATTTAGATTTAGAAGCTACAAATTTGCCGGTGTCTACACGATGCACTGTCGATAAATTACAAGAAGATGGCGTCTACCTTCTGGAGAACGGCATCTCTATGTATATATGGATTGGATTGCATGTTAATCCTGATTGGGTACAAAATGTCTTCTCTGTCCAATCACCGGCCCAAATTGATATTGACTCGGGCAAACTTCTTCAACTCGACAATCCCACATCTATAAGGGTGAGGGGTATCGTAGAACAAGTACGCAAAGAACGGCAGCGGTACATGAAGGTAAGTGGTCGTCATTATGACTGTTACCATGGCAAATTCACCTGATCTATCCTGATATGTTTCTTGAATGTGAAATTAATATGCTTATATGGATCAAATTAGTCTGATTAGCGCCCTCTATAGGTGATCTCGTACAGTCAGATTTTAGATTTCATGAAACATAGAAATGCTTTAAAAGTTAATTCAATATTTTTTTTACTGTTGAAATAAACTTGTTTTTTTGTTTGTTTTTTATTTGTAGTTGACATTTGTGAGGCAGCGTGACACTCTAGAGCCTTGGTTCAAACACTTCCTGTGCGAAGACAAAGGATTCAACGGTGGTGCGTCATACGTAGACTACCTATGTCACATGCATAAAGAAATACGTAACATGTTGAACTAAAACTGGAATTTGTACAATGAGAAATGTGCTTTGACTCGCTGGTTTAGTTGTGGCACTGCTGGTTGTCATAGAAACTATGATGACAAAAAACAACTAATATCGGCTTGATTTTTTTGTCACCACCAGGAAGCAATGAAAGCGATTTTACTGTCATTGTAATGTATACTAAGTAAACGTTTATAGAAGTATATTTACATATTTCAATACGTTGACCTTTGAACCCATATTAATTATTCTAAAGCATTGTACATTCTAATACGCTTATTGGATGAAAATGTTCATTTTTCTATGATTCCCAGTTTATTGGTTTGCCTGCTTTTTCGCGAACCCTGCTGCTTTTGTGTCCTTACTCTTTAATGAGTGACATAACCATAAAGTTTTTGCAATGTAAAAGACTATGATTATGTTGTAACATCGGATCAGCTGCTTGCGTGTAAAATATGATCCTGCATGGCGATGTGGCATCAGATTGTTTTCAGTGAAGTGACTGTATCCATGGCGATGTGGCATCAGATTGTTTTCAGTGAAGTGACTGTATCCATGGTGATGTGAAATCGGATTGTGTGACAGTGACAGTCTCCTCATAATTGTGCATATAGCGAATAGTCATGCGTTGTTATGACGATACATCTACATTCTGTGCGACTCCATAGATAGATGATTTTTTGTTCACTGCGAGATCTCGTGTGAAAGGCATGATTTTGAAATTTCCTTCGTTATAGCTCAATATCCAATTACCTGTCTTTCAGTGGGGAATATGGCATTAAGATACCCTTACTTCATCAAAATTGACCATCATAACAAAAAATAGTCTATTTTATTAGTATGTGATTTTCATTTTCAAATACTGTATTTGCTTTATTAGAGCTGTATGCATCTCTAATAGGTGTACTCATAACCCAAAATTGCATCGCGTTTATACTGCATCATTAAAATCTGTCTAATTTTGACCATAGATGAACTGGTGTTATTTATGTTAAGCACATAATATACTAAGTGTTGGTGATTTTCATGAATTTCATCATGCCATGGACAATGACTGTTTAAACTAACACTTGTCTTAATACTATTTTAAAAAGAACTGCTGTTTCAATTAACCATAATGCACTCTGTTAATCATAGTAAACTCTATATCACCACCAGTAATTTCCCGTTGTTGTGTTGGTTCAAATATTTCTTTGTTTTTTTTCCCGTTCTTATTTTTTCTAAACTTGTTTATTCTGAACCAAACCAGCTATAAATTTTAATCCAATAATTTTTTATTTTCGTCTTTTCATAAAAAGAACTCAACCAATCAAGGTGGTGAAAGTGGTAAAACAATACGTTTGCTGAAGCTTGCAAAAAAAGTGGAGGGGCGAGGGGGGGGTGTACATTTTTGTTAATGGAAATAAGCTTTCTTTTTTATTTAAAATCAATTGAAATTAATGCTAGTTCTCAATCTGTAATATTACAGTGGAGCCTGGCATAGTCCCATGATGCTTTGCAGGACGTTGATATTCTATTAATATACTACCGGGTAATTATAGTGTGGGGGTCGCAAATCAAATATTCCCTACTTTTCTCAAGATAAAAATAAAATAGACAATATTTTTAAAAGTTGATAAAGTATGCATGTATTCAAAGAGAATATTTGTTTGTTTTTTCTTCTCTGTTGAGTCATGTTAATACAATTGATAATTCATTATTTGCGGAGTTTCTCCCAACATATCGGAGAAATTTGGTCGCAGAAAGGTGCTGCTCTCACCTGTACAAGTGTTTTTACTAGACGTGAGAAATCTGATTTTACTGTAGTTTTTTTCTCGCGGCCCCAAAATTGTTTTCTTGCTTTTCTAAAGATTCAATATGGACCTAAATGTAGTTTTTAATTTTGTTGTTCGATATTCTACATTGTAGACCAGATTGTATTATGATTCGTCATGAACTAAAAAATGCGTTTGCAATACAACAGTATTCATTGGATGAAAAATTTTAAAATCACAAATACATATGCGCAGTGAATGTTATTGTATGTACCAAAACGACCAGTGCGTTTGCTTATTAAAGAGTCTTTGTTTCATTGAATGAATACACTGATGTATGCTACAGGGACACTTTTCAGTTTATGATAAATTGTAATGTTACGTATTCATTAATATACAGTATCAAACAACAACAATAATAAAAATGACTTGTTCTTGTCCATAATGCATCTTTAAATCACAAATTTTATTTTATTTTTGCCAAAAGAGTAACTTTCTTTCTGTTTACTCTTCATAAAAATCTGTTTTATTGTACTTGTTAAATAAAAAGTATGATTAAACTAAATTTGTTACAAGTCCCATTCATTTGTGATGTTTTCTTGCATTTGATGCATGTGCGTATCTGACAATATGTATAGTATGTACGCTCTTGTGACGTCACAGACTGAGAGAACTTTATATCTCAGAAGAGAATCAAAGTACAAGATTCTTTATCTTCAGAGGAAGCAATATATCTTCTTTCAAATAGAATGTGCTGTATAAACATTAGAACTTTTATTATACACCATGTAGTGCACATGACAATCTTGGCATTTCAGTATTTGTTGCTAATTTTAAATTGTGAATATTTAAGGTTTAATTTTTTCTCGTATTTTGATAAAACAAGAATGAATGAAATAATGAGCCTTGTATAAGATGTCAGTGTCCTTTAGCTGTCAAATTTAGAAGTGGGAATGCTGGCAATTTTATTATATTTTCTCGAGTATAATGTAATTGTACATTTCTAAATTGTATCTTAAAGCGGGGGAGTCGTCATCTGTGCATGCGTCAGATGGCCATAGCGTGTCATTGTTTACAAACAAGCGTCTAACAATGAACCTTTGTGTTTTTAGCGCGTGTTATCGCCGCTTGGGACTCAATTCCCGCGTGTGCGCAGTTGACGACCCTCCCGCTTAAATACATGCATTCAACAGTAGGTCAGTGTTTTGTTCAAAGTTAAATTAGGGCCGTTTATAACTGCTTAATATCAGGATATATTCTAGCCATGACATCATCACGACTGAGGAGTGTTCTGCTGCTCGCTCTAGGTGTGCAAGGGGAAGTGGGGAGGGGGTTTAGTTAATAGTTGTATAAGTTAATTTATACACAAGTCATTTTCAAACTTGACTCCAAGCCAGGGAATGTGTAGAGACGGTAAGCTAAACTGCTACACTTGCAATCCGCTTGCAATCTCCATTTGTGCAACATTTACGCTTACAACATTTAACGACCAGACATGATTGAGAACAATTCCAGGATGAAGGAGGCATTGCAGTTGATAACGTGGGTCTACATGTGGAACAAGACGTTTAGTTCACATGCGCCCTCTACAGCTGAAACCATTATTAACATCACGCATTTTCCCACAAATAATAAACCTTTATTGACTGAAAAAATGTTAGAAAATACGAAGTTTCTTGCGGTTTACAGAATTTTTTAAAATTATTATATGTTTTCATCTGGTATTGAAATGTGTACACTGGTCCCACAAATTATGAGAGAAATTTCAAGACTATGCACTTTGCTGTAAGACTTGAGTACAATTCCGATTCCAAAAAAACAAAAACCATATCCTCGGGAGGCGGAGCTACGCCCACAGACGTCTACGTGCTAAGACGCGCACCACTGTACCACGTATTTCTATGGGCTTTGTGCGCGCTGCTGTGGAACGCCGGTGGAGCCGGTGAAAACTCGAGAAAACAACACAAACTCAACTTTGAAGTAATCCTGAACAACCAAATTCATATATGTTACACACGTAGGGCTAATCTTGTTACACTGTTCAGGGGACTATCAACAACCATTGCAAAATATCGTTTTCTGCGAGTTTTTGGTCTTTGTTTTCACCGCGAGGGTTGCCAGGCGGTAGAAAATGCCCGGATGTCCGCCCCCGAGGTATGACCATATAGAGGGCCCCCTCAACGTCCAATCTTCTAAAATCTTTCGTTTGTGTCTGTTAACTGCATATCCGGTTATGAAGGGAAAAAAAAGTCTTTGAATAAGGATTAACGTTTGTAGCTGTCTGCACCGCTTGTACCCATTCTCACACCTATAGCGAAATAAAACAAATGGATTACTAGTACAATATACTTGAAAATTCACTACTGCTAGTATTTTCTTGAAAAAAATGTAATTTTCGTATTGTTATTATCTTTCGATGATAATCAATAAAACGATGATTTGTATGATGCAATCAAAAATAATAGATGCAACCGACAACAAGAATATAGCGGGACTAATACACATAACTAATACGTCATATTGATACCGGAAGTTATGGGTGTAAAAGACAGCCGATACTCGTGTCGTGTGTGACGTATTCTCGGGCCGGAGCTACGTCACAGAACGTTGTACGTTACTAAGACGCGCACCACTGTACCATATACTATGGGGTCTGTGGAACGAAGAGCCGGTGAAAACAGCCATAGCCGAGAAAACGGCACAGACTCAAATAAATTTGAGCAACCAAATTTATATATGCATGGGTATTTTTCTGAGAGTTTTCGGCTTTTGTTTTCTCCGTGATGGTTGCCAGGCGGTGAAAATAACCCGGATGTCCACTCCCGAGAAAAAAACGCGCGTAACGCACATTGTTTTCACGAAATTCGAACACGTGCTGTAACGACCACAGCCCTCTAAGTTTGCAAAAAATTCTCACCTCCGGGACCAAAAGCGGCACCATAGCATGGATTACAATAAGGCTTGTCATCGTGCTGAAAACAATAATACAAATTTATGATTAGTAAACAATGCTTCCTCTACCAATAACTGTGTGCGCCGATGAAGGCGCAGCTCAAGCGTACACATTTTACGTTGTGAAAAATCTCCTTACCACTGAATGGCTTCCAGGTGTTAATGTCTTGTTACATTTCTCACATTTCAGGCAAAAGTTGTGCCAATCTTTTCCCATTGAAGTTTTCTTCTCGGCTGCAACAAAATGTATTTAAACGTTAATTAATCTCTCCTAGGGCGCCCTCTATTTTGAGCACGGATACATAGAAATTGTTATTTTTGTAAGTTTAATATTTCCCCTGTGACTTTCCGAGGCTCATTATTGTTTCAGAGCTGCTACTTGGCTTAGTACTGGGCTTTGTCGGAAAGTAATGAAATGTACCTCGCCCTTCGTTTCCATTGTTATCAGGTCACTCAAAAACAGCACGGATCACTCGGGAGTGGTCTGTACAGAAGTACATGTATATCAATAGACTGTACGTAACGATACATGTCAAATACTTCTTGTCCAGCCCTCTATGTCACGTGATGTCCTTGCAATCCACTAGTGTCCGGCCGAGCGATGGCAGACAGAGCGATTGGTGGTAACCGGAATGTTGACCGAGAATGCCATGCCTACTTGAATAAAATGAGGCATGTTTGTGTTCACAAGACGAATCTCTACAGTAGAGATGACGACATTCCTTTACATCACCGAACCATGAACATGTTTATTATCAGAAAATCCTACAATTTAGATAAGAATTAGTTCTGTTTGCCTTGGACGGAAAGTATGTCGTTTCAAGTTGGATTTAATTTCAGGGATAAAGGGACTGTGATTTAATCTATCATTCAACTGTGTTTGGAGATTTGTATATTTGTTGGTGTATTTCTTTGTTTATTTTATTGTGTATGATGGCCATGATATTGTGAGTCAATAAATAACTATTTAGGCATCAATTTCCCGTTTTCCCACTAATGTGCTGAGTTTTTTTTTAATTAATTGATTCTGTTTACTGCACTAAAAAACGAGGTTACCGATCGTACCAACTGTTGTCACGTTTCATTGACGTATGTCACTTTCAAGCGATGAATAAATTACATCCGGGTACTCTCTCGCTATAAATCACCATGCAAGGACAAAATGTACACCATCTTGAGACTACTATAGTAGTCTGAGCTTGAAATAACAATATCACTAACGTGTCACGTGACCCAGTGCGGCATCCCGTACAAGTATGAGCCACAATCAAAATTCATTCACTTGTTGTCTCTTTCCACGGTTTGAGTTTCAAAAAGTTAATGCTAGTCGTACAATGAAAAGTGCAAAAATAAAGATTTGAAGTTTTGTCACTTGAGCACAAATTATTTAGTATTTAACCAAATTACTAAAATATTAAATGTTCTATTATTAATATACTGTAAGTGTACTCCCGTATTCTGCTGGTGTTATTTTCTTTTATAGCATCACAGGATTTATAAATATCACTAAATGACCTTCTGGGTGGTTTTAGGAATAGATAAGATACGAAAGGAATGCTCTCAATATAAGGACCGGTTCGCTGTTCAGTTAATGAACTTGAAATCATGCGACATTTCCTTATCAAATGAATGGTAACTCGATATGAGGTCAATTGTAGAATACGCCGGTGTAAACGACTTAAAAGCTGTTGAACCGTACGCGGTTGATACTTCAATAGGCCGACTGTTCCTCAGTTATATACAGCGGGTCTGTAGAAAAACAAGTACTGTGATAATAGGTACTATGCAAAACAGTCGACAGACAAGAACCCGCCTGACCGGAGATCGAACTCAATTCAGAGCTAGATTAGATCTATTCTACGTGGAATGCCGGGGATGGGAGGGGAGGCAACACGATTCCAATAAAGGCGTAACTGCTATCTAATGGTTTTGTGTTAAACAATCGAGGTTTGTATTTATACCTCCATGCAGATAGACAGATGGCTCAAAACACTCTCCGCTCCCTGTGTGACGTCATTACGTAGAGTATGCTACAATGCTATGATGGCCTACGCCCAGTGCTTGTAAAATAGAATGCAGTCTGTACATGGTTGGTTTATTCAAGGATAGTCGGAAGTAACATTGCCACTAACTGCAGAACGTGTTTTTTTTATTAATTTATGTCTAGAGGACAACAAGTAATCAAAATACATCATGTTTTTAGTAAGTACTATTGTAGTGAAATATATTGGTTAATAAATTTCTAACCGTGTTAACTAGCCAGGACCTATTAGTAACATCTTCATCGCTATCATTTGTTCTCAACATAGCAGTCGCGATTTGCTATGACTATTGTGCGATGAAAATTACTGCAATTTAACTGGATCCAAAGGAACGACTAAATTTGAGTAATCGTAACGGTGCGTCTAGCCGTTACATACGGCTGGCTGGTTCCAATGTATCTCTACTATGACACTCTGTACCTGCGGTTATCGCATGATTGATATTTTCAGTATTCTAGCAATTCATCGGGTCATAGAGTGTGATGACATTAACACGTCACCTAGCAGCTCACTCCGAAAACAATTGATGCGTCAAAACTCTCATAAAATACACTTGCACTAGTCATGAATGTATGCACTTAGCCACACTGTGTGCTTGGCAAACTGGGCACACATGATAAAATTTAATTTTGAACAATGGTCTATCAAATTGCCATGGTAACATAGATTGGGTAATGTTTGAAAGCTGGAAAATCTATGTCGAATTAAAGGTTTCAGCTATTTTCTAGAATCTAGAATCACAAAAAAATGAAAATAAACTTCATACAGCAAAATCTACATTTCAGGGGAAAAAAATAATTCCAGCTAAAATAAAGTATTGACCAATCACAGGAAACATAGTTTGAATGGAGTTTCTCTCGTTGTTAGAACCTTGATACTCGATTGAAATTTACTATCAAGGACTTCGACCCAACACAATTGTTCGTGGTGGTGACATTAATGGTACAATGGCACTAACGAGCTGACATCACTAATTGAAGTAGAAATAGTACAGCGACCTCCACAGGACCATAACAATGGGCACCATATTACCATCTGAATTTGCAGTTGCACTGAGAAGCTGATTTAATTAATTCTTTTCAACTTGAAAACAGTTACATAGTCTTCTAGTTTTTACTCGAATACTGTAAAAGGGTTAATTATTCACTGAGTTTTAATTTTGCTTATTTCGCTGACTGTAAAATGCGCTAATTTAAAACCCAGTGAATATGTAAAATTTAGCATAGAACACATTGTCTAATTGATAAAACCGCAAATTTAAAACCCACTGAATATGCCTGAAATGCTAAATCAGTGAAATTTAAACCCGGTGAAAATTAGTCATTTTACAGTACTAGTGACGCATTGTTAATCGTTTGCCGCGTTTCTATCGCTCTACTGTATACGTATACATTCTTTGCTAATTTATCGGCATTTATTTCCGCTTTCTCTGTCTGGCGTTTGTACCATCAAAAGGTGTCAAATCAAACTGATTGTAAATAAAAAATGTGAAAATACTGTTTTCTCGTTGAATTTATATCTAAGATATATACCTCTTCAAATACATATGTAACTTTTTTACGAATATTCACAAAGACTCATATTGCTTCATGTTTATTTTAGGAGATGTAATTTGAAACTTAATTAAACGAGCGTAGATGGCAACGCTGATCTGCAGCAGTGTAGAGCCAGCTCGTCCCCAATACCCGCCAAATTGCAAAGAACTATGTATTGTGCCTGTTTACCTATACACAGCGACTACGATACCACATCATGTCCCAGTGTTTGCCGACTGATTGTAGTTATCAATAAACTAGTCTACGCGACATGTTTACTGAGCAATGTCTGCTGAAACAAAAAAAACTCTCAAAAATATATTTATTTTCATAAAAATCAAACAAGATTTTAAACGTCCGCCCGGGGTATTATAAAGCAAATTTACATGCGAATTCGTAGCAGCGCCATCTGTTTATCGTTAATACAATTGGTCAGGCTAGAAGCCAGTATGCCAGTATGTATTACGCTTTGCTGCTTTATCTATGTACCCCAAAACAGAAAGGGTACGACGAGCTTCCTGTGAACCGATCTGCTTCGCATCGATAAAATAAACAGCCAGTTATAAACGGTTACCTATGCTTACTGGAATGTGTTTTCAAGAAGCATAAACAGATGTTATTCTACACCAATATTCCACGCTAACCTTTTTATAAAACGTATGGTTTCCATGCTACCGTCCGTTTCATCATCAATATAGCGCGTAACTGATTCAGATCAGCATCGTTGCCGGGGTAACGTATCTTAAGAAGTGGCGCAAAAAGCAACTTTTAATTTCTTATTCCACCAAGAACACGGAGTCCTGGTGCGTACATACATTGTATGGATGTTATAAGCAAAGCAAGTCACCATGAAAATTGGGTCAAGCATAATATAGTACATATTGACTTACCAAAATACACCTCCTTTCCGCATTTTGGACATTTAGGCATGTTGATGGGCTAAAATGGCACGTCAAATCAGAGAAACGCTAGACTAGTCAAAATGGAACGGTTCTTGATACGTTCAGTGCAGCAATACAGAGATAGGTGTGACCAACATTCAATGTATACAGGTATTATGGCTTTATGCACACGACACGCTCATTTTATCACTCGGTCACTGCCCTTCAATCACAGCCTCCGGAACTATAACCCGCGCGCTACCATACTAAATTCTACAACGAAAAATCGTTGACGATGAGTTATACACATATATATAAATAATACACGTACAAATATATAAATAATATGTGTACAAATATGCTAATACTCCGGGATAACGTCATCATTCTCCTGTAATTATAAATTTATTTTATTTGATTGGCGGGAAAAGAGACGACACCATCTCACAAAAGCGATTGAAAGCCCTGTTCTTGTCAGCCTGGCATTAGTGCATATATTTAAATGAAGACGCTCCCGCCAAACAATGGTAGCGTTGAATGTGTTTACATTTAGCCGAGAATTAATGGGTGGGGTGGTGACCTGAATCGGTGATCTGAAGAAGTATACTGCCCAGGACACTCACTCAAATATACAAACAACTCAGAGTTCACTGTAATGTTATTTACACACACAAACGTATATGTTGATTTCAATTACGATTTACTGCATCTGAATGTACTTGCATGTATGGAACTACAAAATAGAAGCTGTTGGTATAATGGGAGTGAAGGAGTATCTTCCAATCGACTGCATGGTGACTTAAATCACAGTCCCTCCTGTGCTTAAATCCTCGGCTGAAGCACAGTTTGTGGAGGGACTGTGGCTGAAGTCATATTATCACGGAATCACAACCCATGCACAACACAACAACAACAACATTATCGTCATCAATTTTGACCCGTTGTTCTACGAGTATTTATTTATTTATTTTCAATTACTGGTACGCACTAACAATGATGCAAGAACGCATGTGCATTGCCGTGGTTTTTTATCTTATTTACATTTTTTTCTATCTATGTAATTATTTTGCGATACAGAATATCCGTTTTTTACCGTACTGTCGCAAGCAATGTGTTATCGGCACAAAGAATTATCACAAACCGTTGACCTTGATATTTAAAGATTGGGAGTATTAATGGCTTTCGAGTTGTTTTCGTTACTAAATTTGGTTATGAGTCTGGTATTGATAACACGCAAGGCTGTAAATAAGTCCAACTCAAACGGAGCGTTAGCGTTCAGTGTATAATTATAACAGTGACAATGCTACATAATGCAGGAAATCAAATATGGCAAGATGAAATAGACTAGCCCATAACAGAGAATATAAAAATTAGCATGAAGAGAGTAATACAATGATATTTTTTATGAAAATATATAACATGTATATAAATATAACATGTTGTATTTAATCAGACGAGGAAATAGTCAGTCTTACGTCGGAAATTAAAAACTATACATATCTGGAAAAGGAACGGAAACTAACTGTGGGTTGTCCCGGCATAAACATAGCCTCCAATTGAGAGATCGCTCATGTGGTATGAAAGGTGGATGCCCGGGGTTTGATGTAATTGTTCGCCTGAACGCCCGAGAAGCACGCAATCTTACGTATCTTGTATCGCTGATATACCCAGAACAACTAGCTGATTTTCGATGTTCACGTGCATTCTTGACAGATCAGGGTTCTTGTCTGCGTTCTTGTCTCAAGGCCATTCAATTCAATAAATGCACTATTTGACCTCTGGTAGAGCACTGAACAGCCAACTTGACCCATCAACTTGATACACACACCAAAAAGAAATGCGATTTTTAATGAATTTGTTTTATTTACACATAGCGCAATATTTAATTCTATTTTACTGATTCTAGCACTGCAGTGGCATTTAATATAGTACTAGGATATGATTACAGATGGGATGTGGTTTGCTCCGAGGTGACCACTGAACTTACGGTGTTGGGTTACATTAATTATTTTGCACCATATGTGAAATAAACATGGGTTGCAATTATGCAACGTGAAACAGTGTGTTAATTGTTTTTTGATGGAATACTAAACGAAATAATTAGAGAATAATTACGTGCGTCAGCGCGAAGCAGGTAGGTAGTTCATGGGTTCATGTGCATGTCTTTATGTTAGTGATAGAACTAGAAAGGAAAAATAGCTAGCATCTTCAAACTATAAGTTTGTACACATGTTTTTTTTTTTTTTATGATCCGCAAGTCCTGTTATTATTCTAAAGCCATGGAGGGAAGGCCATGGTCACAGTTGTGTTATTGTATTTTTGCAATATATTATAACAGGTGGGGGGGGGCAGAAATGTCGCTGCCATTGAGGGCATTGTACAGAAACCTGCCTACGGAACAATATACTAGTAGACAGAAAAGATGAATAGAAGATGGTCTCGCAATTTTGTTGGTTGGCACGCTAACAAGAATATTTGGGTCATGGTCTGGAGACATAAATAAGATTTCACGTGTAGTCAACAGAAACGTCACATTGCAACTAAGCATCACGTGATTGAAAATGTATACCACATGGGTAATATATCGTACAAGTAATATCTTCGTGTTATAATAGCTGAAAACAATATCTTCGTGCATTTCATTTTTAATCTATTTACTGTGCAAAATGTGTGAGAGATAGATTCATCTTGTAACGACACTGCGTAATAGTATATGTATATGATAGCAACCTTGAAATGCCGCCCTCATACGAAATTAATACATTGCAGTCATTTCGTTTGAATTATAAAGTCATGTTTCACAGATTAAACCCGTATCATTGAATACGTCTACCAAAACTTTCGGCCAATGGGAATACATGTGTCCCACATTAACACAAATAGCCCATGTTATGATGGGGAAAATCATCGACGTTATGGTTTATTAAAGGGCGGTGTTCGTCGCTCAGTGCGTGTTCGAATTTCATTTGTCAGTGAACAAACGTAATGTATTTTACAGGCGTTGTTTACGAGTTCCATATCGAACAGGACGCGGCGCAACGACCGCCGCCCTACTCAGATTTTTCAGGAATCAAGAAGTAATTTTATGTCACGTCTTTGCTGCATGACTGCTAGTAAATACTGGAAGGTCATTAGCACATTTATTATTGAATGATAAATGAATTGTACGGGTTAACAATATATTGGTAAATATCGTTATTTAATTCAACTTTCACCCAGAAAATGTAAGGGTTAGTTTGAACCTGTGTTGGAAAGCGAGTTATAATTGAATATTGGTGTATTTTAATTTACTGTGGAATACTTTTAAACTGTTCAAATTTCGCTTGTAATATCATGCAATTCACTGAAAGAGAAATCCAATTATCATATCCAAAAAAAACAGTCATCGAAGAATGCAATTTTTTTCTTCTTCTTCTTCAATTCTAATCCGTGTATGAGGATCGGAGCTAAATTACAATTAGGCTTAGGCACATATCTTATATTTTAGTGAATTGTGGGATAGTTCGTTCAGATTGCACACTAAGGGAGCGTTTTGTGGTTGGTGGAGTTGTGTTCGATTAAGACTCGATTCGGCCTTACCAATCCAACAATGCACTGTAATTTGCAACTGCGTTATGGTCAACTGTACAGCACATATCGTGTTACCCAGAATTATCAACTTTTTAATCTCTGGGATAAATGCGAAAACAACTATACTCGTAAACGGAATTATTGAATAGCGCCACCTATTGTGAAATCAGAATCAACGCGTGAGGGCGGTAGGTGATTTACAAATACTATCTTCCTCCGATTCAAGTGAAGTGAATTTCCACAAACGCAATGATTTTGTGAATATAAAAATAAGGGTAGTCTATCTTCAAATTAAGCTATAGCATAAAAATGTTGTACATTGAATAATATTATTTATGACACTCGGCACTTGGGCCAAAATTGTCTCAAATTCACTGAGTATCTTAAGTTTGAATGTTTACGTTTCCTTAAAAAAAAGCAATTTGAATAATTTGAGCATGTGCAAATAATTGTATATTAATTAAAGCATGCACAATCCAGCATATAAGTTAATATTTCTTTATATTTTCTGTAGTTTTGTTTTTGTGAATGTGATCATATCATTCAGTTTCCTGAATTTGTTTGTATACACTTGCAATAAACATTTTGTGACTGAAAGTCGGCTCTTATATCGCTTTATAAATATCTATATTGTTTGTCTAGTTCTGTTTTTTTGTATTGCATCTTATTAATTTTGTTATGTATCTTTCAATTATGTTGCTGCAATAATAAATTCACTATTATTATTATTCATTGAGCAGCCAAGTAAAATATGTGATTTAATAGCATTGTAAAAAATTATTTGATTCTGAAAGACAATCTAATTATTTGTGGCGATAATAATAAAATGAGTCAGAAGTCCAGTGAACAGTAAGATGGCATAGTAGTGATGTTAAAATAAATGAAATAAATTTAGTTAAAATGTTGGGATCGTCATCTGCATACATGCGATAACGATAAACATAAAAACACAAAGGTTCATGGGTGGATGCTTGTTTGTAAACAGTAAAATTCTACAGCTATCTGCTGCATGTGCAGGAGACGATGACTCCCTCTCTTTAATATATAGGAAGCTTTCATGAATACTAAACATGAAATATGGTGATGCAACTTGTTTGGTGGGGATTCAAGATGGCTTTTCCCCATCGACTAATGGTAATTTTATGTTTATTATTATGATTTGTATACCATCTGACCTAGACAGAGTCCATGATTACAATATCATACGTAGAATAAATTCATCCAATAAGACACTGATGCACAATAATTGTAATGATAGTCAAATTATAGTGACTGTACAGTTATTTTATTGGTGTAAAATAGGTAAGTACTTATTATTTGAAGATTCAGAAATATACAGAGATGATTACATAGAATATAAATCTATATTTTTCTGCCACTCGTTGACCAAATAAGGTCATAGCAGCTCCTTATATGGTTAAAGACACCATATATACATATATATTGTATACATGATCAAACAGAATGTAAATCTACATATTTCTGCCACTCATTCACCGAATAAGGTCATAGCAGCTCCTTATATGGTTGAGGTCCCGAATATACATAGATGATTACACACAATGTAAATCTACATATTTCTGCCACTCATTGACCAAATAAGGTCATAGCAGCTCCTTATATGGTTGAAGACCCCATATATACATAGATGATTACACAGAATGTAAATTTTCATTTTTCCTCCACTCGTTGACCAAATAAGGTCATAGCAGCTCCTTATATGGCTGAAGACACCATATATATTGTATAATTACAATAGGGTGCAGTTTTTGACAGCAAAGAATGATGACTGCTAATTTGCATAATAAACCATCCCACATTTGCTCCATTATTAATGCATATCCAATACAAGAAGCAAAAATCACATTGGCTGTATACAAAACCATCAAAATATTACTTATTTTGATCACAGAAAAAATTCTGTAATTTAAATTCTGGTGAGTGCATGTGCTACTAATACGGTACAGCATCATAACAATTTTATGTTTAAATATTTTGCCGAAACTCAAGTACTACTATTTAGAATCACATCAAAACCAATATTTTTTTACTCAGATGCACCTCTATAATGAGCTTCTAATGGAAGAAATTCAATATCTTGTCTTAGCTAAAATTTTTGACAAAGAGAATTGAAAAATGATGAAGTAGTCTGATATACATATTTAACATTCATATACATATATAATCGAACTCCTAGAAGAGAAAAATCTTAAGTTTTAAAAAACATTTACAATTCTGTTGCTCAGTAAATAGTCATTTTGAATATGGGAACAAATCAGCCATGTAGAGCACCCTCTTGAGTTCACAACAAATACTGCATGCATGTGAAATAAAGCTAGGATTGTATTCAGATCATGTGCAGCATGTACGAGTATATAATGCTAAGATTACAAATCAGTTACATGTTTATTTGAAGGGTGGTGTTCATCATGCAGCACATGTTTGAATTTTGTATAAACGAACATTTTATTTTACAGGCGTTGCATCCTCGGGGGCGGAGCTACGTCACAAGACGTTCCACATTGCTAAGACGCGCACCACTGTACTACGTATTTCTACGGGCTCTGTGCGCGCTCTGCTGAGGAACGCCAAGCGAAGAGCCGGTGAAAATTCGAGAAAACAACAGGAACTAAACTTTGAAGTAATCCTGAACAATCAAATTTTATATGCGTTACACTGTTCAGGGGAGTCTCAACAACTATCCCAAATTACGGTTTTCAGCCTTTGTTTTCACCATGATGGTTGCCATGCGGTGAAAATGCCTGGGTGTCCGCCCCGGAGAATATGTCACTCTGGGTCCCATTTCAAACATGACACAGCGATGCGAACCACCACCCTTCAATACACATGCAAGTACTGCATTTATTACTATAGGAGCAAAAAATAGATGATTTCAGAATTCTTGCTTATTGTTGCTTGTTGCTTGTTTTTAAGTTTTTTATAATTCAAAATGCATTCCAGAATGAAATGCACACTGCCATCTTCTATTTCCCAAAAGTTGATTCTTCAATTGTTCTGCTTTACTGATATACCCAAAATGACTGAATTTCAATTTCTACTTTGACAGAAATATGAAAATTACTAGACTACTAGTAAGGACACATATTAGAATTAAAAAAAAAAATTACAATTCATATTAAAGCCTAAAATGAATTAAATCACCATCACATTGCTCTTTGAATAACAACAAATGATGTAATTATTTACATTCAACACAAGGTCAAACAAATTGCAGTTAAATGAAAAAATAACATTTTATGAAATATACTGTCATAATACTGTCAGTGAAAATATTAAATAGTGTCTGTCGGTGGTAGATTTTTTTTTCTAATTGATATGCATGTATGAACAAAGATTAGAAGCTTAAAAGTATTACTGATTTTGATAAAATTATAGTTCAATTCCCTTTAAAGACAATCCTTGAACTATCACAAAACCTTAAAAAAATTCTTGTTCTTAACTTTTCTTAATATTATTGTAATGTATTCTGTGTATTAAGAATATTCAAAAATATGCAAAAACAAAAATATAGTCACATTTCCATGACAATCACATTTCACAATCCTGACAACACCCAGAACCAAATATAGGGCAGCCATATTGGATTAAACATGGTGAAATTTGTAAAGCTATAACTCAATGTCTAAAGCTATAATTTCTTAAATTACAAATCATGAAACTGGAAAATTTGTGAACCTTACAGCCAATATGACATTATAATCTAAATAATAATAATAATGTACGTACAATGACCTCATTTGCAAATGGCTGCAAAAATCGTTTTGAGAGGAATTTAAACACACAAACCTTTCCTTATCACTCCCAAAAAAGTGTTCCATTCTCTGTTGCCACCATGACCACTGTTACAAATATTATGGCTGCATCAGTCAGCAGAAAAGTAAACAATAATGACGATGGAGAATGTAATGTAACTATTTGGGGGGCAAAAATAAGTTGTGTAACTCTCTCATTCTCAACGAGGTCTAGGATTATTGATGTATAGAAGAGAAATGTTGTCATAGTTATTTTGTTTGTCATTCTGCAATATTTTTTGTGGATGTAAAAAAAAAACAAAAAAAACACAAGCTAACTATGCAAGAAATTTAAAAAAATTAATGAATTAAAAAACAAATTAAATATCAAAGAGTTATTTTGTTACCTCTATTTTGGAGATATTTAAAATTACATATCTTGCCAACTAAAATTAAAAGCAAAAAACTTTATTGAAGAATGTAGAAGTTTTTCATTAGGAAAATAAAAAAAAAATATTGATACTGATTAATTAAAGCATATCAATCTATACATATTATTGTGACCCTTGTTACATTCTATCTATGAACAGTGACCCCAGTGACCAAAAATACAAACTTCCTTATGTGATTATTACCAAACTATATTCTACAACAATAATAATAAATACATATATTTTCAAATTGGTATTATGATTAAATTATGATTGTAAAAATATTAAGACGAAAAATATTCAAAATTACCACCTGCATTTAGAAGGCTTAAAAAATATTAATTTAATATTTCCACAAATAGAATACATCCTTAAATTTTGATAAATGCCATAGGTCATCATGTCACTCTTTTTAACCCAATGCAATCTTTTTTCCCGCCAAATTTTTAGTGCAGCATTTTCAGAATTTTAGACATTTTCTATAATTTTTGTTAATTTCTGACATAAACATAATTTCTCACTACTCTGCATTCAACAATGTTTGAAAAATATGTCTAATTATTTAGGCTAATTTTGTGAGAGATGAAAAAAGTGACTGGCTTTTAACATTTTAACCTTTTTATCGCCAAAGTCAACTTTTGTCACTATTAAAATTTCAAGCCTGAATAATTTTTTCATAAATTTTCCCAAATTTTGATAATTTTGATTAAGACTAGTAGCCAATTAGAAATTATGTCTATTTAGTCTAAAATTATTTTAAAAAATATAGAAAAATACCAAAAAAACAAGCAAAATGTACCAAAATGTTGCCAAGAAAAATGATGGCGCTCAAAGCATTAATCAGTTACACAACACTGTCATAATAAAGTATCATTTTTTAAAACTTCTGAAGGAAAAAAAAGTGTTTGTTTGCTTTTTCACAACAAACATAAAATAAAGCAATTAAAAAGTCAGATTTAAGTTAAAATATGTTTTTTATAACATAAAACAATTTTTAAAAGACACAATTGAATAATAAACATTTTGATTGTTTACTTTGGCAGAAAGAAGACAAATTAATCCAATAGTATGAAATTGGTGACTGTGTCAGATTTCTCTGTGATTTGATTAATTTTTATATCTTTTCAGTTCTAATTATGCAATTATTTTTCATTACTAGGAATTTCAGTGTTAATGGTGTTTTTGTAGAAAATTCTGCACAAATTATCTCTCCTGAATTTAAAGCGATTAATAGTGACCAACATTATGCAGAAAATAGAAATATGTCATTACTAGAAGGGGGATAGCTAATAACCTTTAGAATTAAATATTCATGACGATGTCTGATATTTGCAGTAAAAGAATGTAAAATACAATCTATCTGGTTCAAAGTAATCAATCATATTCCTGATGACTTAATAGCAGACAGAGTCAAAACACACAGCTATTTGTCTACTCCAAAACTAGTGTAGCTATTTGCAACACCGCCAGCTCGCACTCCTGCAAAATAAAAAATATTGTAATTAATTATTAGAAATATTACATGTATTTGTGTGATTACCATATTTGTTATACGAGAAGTGCATGCCTTTATTTAAATGAACTGTTAAAAAAATTAGCATACATTGATGGCAGAAGTTTGTTTTACATATGCAACATTAGTGTTGATATACATTGATTTTCCTACAATCCAATGTGCTCTTCTAATGAAATCGCAAGTATGAGTTTTGACCTGGGCTTCACTAATTACCACTGGTGACACCTTCCAATCACCAAAAAATTATCTAATTAAAGCTAGTAACCTTTCAGTTTGTATTTGTTGGTCTGCACAACAGTCAAAGTTGCCATCTTTGTTCATATGAGACACATATTTTGTGCACAACAAACACAGTCCTTTAAACTTCAATGGATGCTGTTTGCAATGCGTTCTAATCACTAAAACCTAGTTGTATTCATCAATCTGGACAACACTTAAAGTTGCCATATTTGTTCATATGGAACTCGTATCTTGTGCATGCGTGGCTGATGACGATCGCTTTTTAAACAAACATAATGTTCATATGTTACCTTTTGGTCCATAGAGGGCAGTGTAACAAGGACGTGTACAGTATGGCTGCCCATCATGCTGAGAAATAAAATTAAGAAATAATTAAGATTAGGGAATTGACAGTTTATTGACATTGGATAATAATAATAATTTTGGTCCAAGTCTGTTTTGACACTATTGCTTATGTTAAAATTTTTCTTCTTCCACTGTTTCTTCCACTAACTTTCAGAATTGTGATTGGTAGATTGGTTTGGCAGCCATCTTGAATTGAATTTAAATAAAAGTAGGCATTTTAAACCCTTTCTGAGGGTCTAGGCATTTGTAGTAGCATTATTGATATATGGGCTACCTATTTCCCAAATAAAAATGTTAGTGGTCACATGACTTTTTTCGCCATATTTTCCTCCAGAAAAATGGCAATAATCACTTAAAAATCTTCTTTTTCAGAACCATTGAACACATTGATCCTAAATTTGTTTTTTCGAATATATGTATAATACTCATTACAGTTTTCGAAGCTGTTTTTGATCAGTGAGGTGGTTTGCCTGCCATCTTTGACAGGAGTAGTTTTTACAGACGCCACATTTATCTGATTATTTTGAAATTTCCATACTCCTTCAGACAGCAAAAAAATAATTCAGACCAGTCACGTAATTATGCTGCAATATCTTGGATTTTTGCGAAAAATGGCAAGTTTGGGGCATTTGTTTTTTAGGAGTGCTTCAACAGATCAACTGGATATTTGGCATGTACCATATATGGCCATAGTTTCTTACGAGAAAAATAAAATAATTTTGATTGAATGAATGAATGAATGAATGAATGAATGAATGAATGAAGTTTATTTCCACTATAAACATATATACATACATAATATACAAATAAATGTGATATATAAACAGATGAGTAAATAAAATTAAGTAAATAGTCTATAATTTGAATTTTAGATATATATATTTTTTTAGATATTTTTATAAATTGTTTATAGTGAGGATCATGGAAATAGTTCCCTGGAACTAGTCTAGTCCATGACCCTAATAAAGA